GGAGCAAATAGAGGAATTGTGGGTTGTGTGTGCTTTTAAAGGCAGAAAATGGAGCTATATTATTGGTTGGAACATGGCAACGAGAAAAACACGAATAAATTAGTGGAATGAAAAGCGTTTGTTGAACCCTGTGGGATTTAGACATCTTTCAAACTAGCAGTCTAAATCCCACAGGGATCAACAAACGCTTTTCATTCCACTAATTTATTTGTGTTATTCTTGTTGCCATGTTCCCACCAATAATGTAGGTCCATTTTCGGTCTTCATTTTAGACCACAGGGTCTTCGTTTTAGACCACAGGGTCTTCGTTTTTAGACCACAGGGTTTTAATTTGTTTTAGACCACAGGGTCTTTGTTTTAGACCATAGGGTCTTTGTTTTAGACCACACGGTCTTCATTTTAGACTGTAGGGTCTTCGTTTTAAACCACAGGGTTTTCGCTTTAGACCACAGGGTCTTTGTTTTAGACCACAGGGTCTTCGTTTTAGACCACAGGGTATTCGTTTTAGACCAGTGGGTCTTAGGTCTTAGATCTTCATTTTTGGGTCTTCTTTTTCAACACATCCAAATTAATGCAAAGGGTAGCTGACATTCAAACTAGGAAATTAAATGAAACTAATTGCTGGAGTGAGCCAGGGAATTAGCCTTATCCATTCATTAATGTGTAAAAAGGCTCTATGTATCATCATCGTGTACTTAAGGTAAATATGTTTAACAAAAACTTATGTACATGATATAGAAGATGATATTACCCCTGCATTTTCTGTTGGTGTATGTGGTATCTCATTTGGGAGAACACAAGTCTGTAACTCATTAACTTTTGGAGACTTTTATCAGACTTTTATCAAACTGCAGAACCAATGGGAACATTTGGGTGTATCATTGGAAGGGTTTTTGTGCAATCAGAGTGCACAAAGTATTACTTTTTTGTGGTGCAAATAATCAAACAGAGCATTATTTACTCACTCCTTCCCTGAAGACAATGTGATATCCAACATTTTTTCTTTTCAGTAATTCAGTTGAGCTTTGAACATAGCTTAGGAATTGTTGTGCCTCACTATCAGACATGTACAAAGCTAAACTTATGGGACCTGAAACAGGGTAATAGAAAAAATGGTCAATTCACATGCAGTGTTGAAAGACTTGATACTATTTTTCTGATCAAACTTTGGTAACCATGCATCATTATAATGCTATCAAATATTTAGTGATAATATCTTCCCATTCTCATTAGCAACGGAGGTAAATGGGATTACATTGTTGCAGTACTCTTTCTAAGACATGCAATGTAAAATTTATCAAAGTGACATAAGAATTTATTTGTTGTTTAGCTAACAAACTTTCCTGTCATTTTAATTTAATTATTGGCTCTATCTGAAGTCCTGGAAACAATCTATAACACCTCTTCCACTGAAAGACAGACACCTGTCACTTTTACCTTCCCAGTGGAGACAAATAGTCTCAATCATCTGCAGTCTGTCAATAGAGAGCTGGACTACTAGTGTAACGTCTGAGGGCTCAACAGCCTGTTGAATAGACACCAAGTACAAACAATCAAGAGGCATATTCTTGCAGAAGTGAACCTTATTCAGGGAGATCAACATATATAATCCTGAACAGGATGTGATAAGTGAATTGAAAGGGTGATAAACTACTACTCTTCCAGATAATGAGCCTTGTTCAGAGAAATCAGTGCATATAACCCTGAGCAGTATATGATAACTGAATAAAAAGGTTTAATAAGCTGCTGCTCTTCCAGATGGTGCTGATAGCATTTCACAAACAAGGTTTTATTTGGTTAAATGACATCAACATCTTAGATGTCTCATTTGTTCTATTTACAATAAACAGTATTTTGTGACAATTACAAAAGTTTTGCATTGCTAGGCAACTTTAATACTTAAAAATTGCTCACTCCCTTCTTTTGTATAGCAGCTGATAACAATAATCTTCTCTAAATACTCTTTTCTTCCTCTTGCTAACCTAACTGAGCAAAAGCAAAGAGCTACTCGAACCCTTTGCAATTAAGAAATTAGTATCCCATTCAATTATTTCTAATTGCACCTGCCTCAGACAAAAAAAAAAAAGAAAGAAAGAAGGAAAAGTTGGGCAATTCACCTCCATTTCACAAAGCAAGCCAAAGCATATAAAACACAACTCAGCTTACCTGTGAAAAGTCATAATCTAGATAGTATAGATGAGTCCTGTGTGTCAAATCTTGCTCCTGGTTGAATTCATAGCATGCATCCTCACTGTCCATGTTTCCTGCACTCTGCATGTAAACACAGCAAACAACTTACATTTTTCCTTTCACACACTTCATTATCTATATCCATAACAATTATATAACAAAGGATTTCCCATCCCAAATTCAAGGCTATTGAGGAAATCAAAGATCTTGTGAGGTAAATCAACACCCTTGCAAAATTTACTACTGTAACAATTTATAGAAAGCTATGGCTTAAAAAAAATGCAAACTGAGAACATCTCTGAATCAATAATATTTTGGATAGGTGATGCAGCTTGATCATATACCAAAGCTGAAGCTGACTGAAGAAGATAACTGATCTGTGCAGCACTTTTGAAGCAATATATTTGCAATACCCAAGTACAATTACTATAAAAATTTTTAGTTTCCCAATTGGATTACTGAGTTTGTTTTTATCAAAATACTCTTTAAGGAATTGATCAATGGAAATTCAGTTAATTGATCAATGCACAACCATGTGGGCATGAGTATAATAATAAATGTTTGCTGCAAAACACAGTTTGTTTGTACCGTGTAAGAGCAAACCACTGAGGATAACTAGCTTTTTAGAGTCATATGATCTTGGTCAGTGAAAAGGAAATCAACTTCAAGTTAACAGATATTCAGTGAGCTAAAATCTTGGAATGTTGTAAATCTATAGCTAACTTTGAATGAGTGTACAATATTTAAGCATCTCTGCAATAATCTACAACTAACATTTACTTGTTCTTGACCAATGGTGACTGGGCACCCTGTGTTTATGGTCTATTAGACTAGGACAGAGCTGAATAATGCACACGGATGCGCTAGGTTTTGCCGCGGAAACACAGATTTTGAGTCATTCGGATGGTTGATTTCCTATTCTGTTGCTTCGAGCTGTTGTTTTCCTTGCCGGTTTTTGATTACGGAACAAGCTCCAAAAACTTGGTACACCCCCTTAAAATTTTCAAAAGTTAATTTTCTCCATAAAACCTCTGGAGATAGGAAAATGCCTTCAACAAAAACAGAGTTCGTCGGTTTTAAAAGTCAGCCCTCATTATTTTCCACTAATTTCGCTAAAATTTAGACCTAGGACACTTGAGCCTGCATTGTTGACCGCATACCCTTGACGTAGCATTTCATTATTCAGCTCTTTCTCAGACTAGCACCACAGCCCCTCCTTGAAAAATCACTGTGTGTTACCTTGTCTGATGGCTGCTGCTTAACTCCATCTGTGGTTTTATTTAACTTTGTATCATTTTCATCACAAGAGAATATCCATCGCCTACAAACAACAAAAGTCGTATTTCTTTAATCATTGTTCACACACTGATTCTTCTTGATTATAGTGAGCCATTAATAAATGTAGTTTCATGCCACTACCCCCAAAATAGGCACTGGTGTTTGGATTGATGGCTCACACTTTTTTCTTGCCAGTTAGAGAAATTCCATAAAACTAAAACTTTTTTGACTTGCTCAGTTCTTAGAGTACCATTCTTTTCAGTAAAGGAGGCTCTGGGACTCACCATAACAAAATTAATTCCAGTTAAGAACACTGACACTTCTGTAGGTATCCATTGATTCTGACTTGTAACATGAACTTGATATGAGGTCTGATAACTTACCTCAAGAAGTTACCATCATATTCCAAGAAAGTCAAATACAGGTTCTTGAAAAACTCTTCATACTTGTTCTTTGCAAGCTGCTTTTTCGGGGAGTTCCAGTGAATGACCTATGAGGTGATATGGAGATAAACTTTAAAATGCCTCAGCTTTCTAGTGCAGGTTTGGTGAGGTGAGTAATGTGTGCTTCTCATACTGCATAAAAATTGACTAGAGATTGAAAAGGAGCCTCCTCAGATTCTGAAGTAATTATTGATGAATAAAACTTCAATCAAGATTGAGAGTATATTAATTTGTCTAGTACAATATATCAGTCAGAATAACCAATCAATGAATTAAACAATTCTTACTATTACTGTAACACTGTGACAATACATATTAATTAGTTAATTGTGACCGTACACGGGAAAACGTACTTTAACGCTTATCCATTAGACAGGCAAGACCATTAGTCATCCATCAGTTGCCCGTTAGAGACTTTTCACAGAAACGTTAGAAGCGTTAACAGAACCATTAGCTTTAAACGTCACAGCGTTAGATCGAAAAGTTTAGCCGTTGGCCGTTTGCATCAGTACCTCAGAGCATTAGTTGTATCCGTTAGAACGGATAGGTGAGGCATTAGAGAAAATCATACCTTCCATTAAATGGATGAAAGCTGTTAGTTTCCGTTAGCCGTTAGCATCTGAGTGTTAGTTCCGTTAGAACGTCAGTTTCGTAAACAACAAACACAAAGAAATGAAAATAGCAAAATTTCCGAAACCCGTTATTGAATTCCTATAATTTTCTATACATGCTACGTTGCCCTAGAAATTCGAAAATGTCATTCATGCATCGCAAATATCCTTCCTACTGGATGATTCAGTGATCATTGTGTCAAGCTGTTGAATTTTTCTCGTCTTCGCACAACATAATTATCATTTGACATTCTTGACTATAATATTGAACATTACTTTTGTCCAAGATCTTTTTTATTTCTGACGGCAGCAACAAGTATACAGCAACAAAGCGTTCGAATGCAAAATAATGTTGTCACTGAAAATGTGCGGCAGGAAAGTGAGGGAGTTTGTTCATATTGCGTTTCTTGACTTTGTTTAGATGTGCTTGTGTCCTTTCAAAAACATCCAAGTTTAATAATTGCGATCCGGCTATTTCCCTTTAAGGCAGGGCCATCAAACACTCCTTGGTTGAAACATTCGACAATCGCGACTTTTTTTAGAGAAATCTACATGTTTACGGATGTGGAGTTTACTATCGTGTAAGATGGTTATTGTGAGATATTCGGCAATTCATGGAAACCTTTTTGGTACACCAGACTAGCTGCACCTACTGCTTCTCATGCTTAAGTCGTCAGATGCAAGCGTTAGATTTTAATGGCTTTAGCCATGCAATACAACAAGTTGTGGAAGCGTTAGAAAGTCTTCATGAGCCATTAGACAAAATCAGTAGGGTGTTAGAGTGTCAAAGCTAACGGTTAAAGGCATGCGTTAGAACAAGTTGAGGAAGCGTTAGAAAGTTTTCATGAGCCGTTAGGCAAAATCAGTAGGGCATAGAGCGTCAGAGCAAAACGTTGGAACGCTCTAAATGACCGTTAGCCATGACATGCTGACCGTTAGACCGTAAAGGCAAAACGTTAGAACACTTTCAAGGCCGTTAACTATCCGTTAACTTCCTGTTAGTTTTTGCCCGTTTAACGGATAAGCGTTAAAGTACGTTTTCCCTTGTACTGTCACAATTTTGAAAAAAAAAAAAATTTCAGCTCACCTTTAATTCAGAGACATCCTTGTAACAGTGCTGTAAATACAGTATACAAGAAGATGATTTATTGTATTTTTGTGTACTTTTTTATTTTTTTTTTTTGAGGTATATTTCTAACAGGATGCCCTATTCATTTACCACTAGCAATTGCAAACTGTGAGGGTAGGTATACCAGACAGTTATAATGCAGGACTTGTAAATCAACCAGTGGTCTTGTCTTCAATTAACCTATTGACGTCCAGTGTGCCCGTATGCGCCTATGGGGACCCACACCCTTTCTATGCCTTGTGACGTCATCACTTTTAACCCTGGAGCACAACTTTGAGCACATACTTGAACAGGTTAAAAATATCTTACAAATGTTACCAGAATGAGCACAATTGAGTGAAGGAGATTGGAGAAATAGCCAAAAAACCATGTAACTTTGACCTGAAAATCTGCACGAAAATCTTGTTCCATTACCCACCTACCTTTCTGAGCATGTGCTTTGAAAATAATGAGTAGTTCCCTAAAAAATCTCTACACCAAAATGAGGCCTACTAAATTTCCAGCAAGTGAGGAGAAACTTCAGGCAAGGAGAGGGGAAACAAAGAGCAGGAGAAAGAGAGAAAAGTAAAAGTCATAATCTCCAAATTTTGCTTTCTGCACATGCCCGAGATTTTCAGGCCGCCATTTTGCATTTGGATCGAAAGGCCTTCAAGTGTACGAGCTGTCAAGGGGTTTTTGGTAAGTTTGAGCTTTTAAAACCACAACAGTGATCCGAAATCTGCTCGACTAGCTTCAAAACACAGTTTTCTACAAAAGCTGCGGCCATTAATGGGTTAATGATCTGCAGATATCTGCCTTCTGTATCTCCCACCACTTGACATTTGGTAATTTGCTTTTAAAAAGCAAAAACTGCTATATTTGACAATAGCTTTTAATTATCAACTGATAATTCCTTCCTTTGCTTACATGTACACAATACTAACAGTTACTGCTGACAGCACTAAATATTAGTGACAGTGACAGACATACGACACTAATTACTGAATGACATGAAAAGAAAGTACTCACAGCACTACGACTGTTGTCTCCAAGCTGAACATTCCATGTACATGGCAGCTTTAACACCAGATGAGGATTACTCTTTATCAATGCATTAAATATGTCCTTCAAAAGAAACACACATACATTTTAAAGTGATTTAACTCTACTCAATCTCTATAGCTCTAGACATATCAAATTTTGCATCAATTTAACATTGACCAGAAGTATTTTCATTCATAAAAAAGAAAATATCTAGACTTTCAATAAAAACAAGATCCCTGGAGGTGTTAACAACCTTCTTATTGAATGCTGATGTCTATAAAGTTAACTATGAAGGCATTCTGTAATCAAAGAAAAATGCTGCCTCCAACCAAACAGAATTCATAAAAGTATCAGTTCACCAATAAAAAGTCATGAATATATATTTTCTAGCAAAAGAGTGATGCCACAGAATTTGTGTCAGGTTTGTGTAGACATTCCCTCCCTTCTATTTCTCCTCATGGGGAGGGGAGAGTTACACATAGGCTAAACAGCTCCATATAACTGTAAGAGAAAGGATTAAGAGTTCACCTGATCTGCAAGAGAGGTAGCCAGCATGTTCATAAGTTCCCTCTCAGCAGTCAGTCTCCACAGACTGGTCCACTTTCCCTGCCGCAACTTGAACAGGTCCAGAAGTATAACTCCTGTGTTGAACCCTCTTCCCTGAATAAATTGTCATGAAAACTAACATACCAATGCCTAAGATTCATGCAGTGGCCTAATGGTTTGCACACTGGATTCAGGATCATTATTTTCTGCTATAATGGGCAGAACACTTTACCATATAGCAGCACATCCCTTTTGGGATTTAAAATCAACACCATTTCCAACATTCCTTTTCAGGACCTCTCTCTACCTCACCACTGAAGAATTCCATCATACTACTATCTACTACCAAAGCATTTACTTCTGTCAGTTAAAAGTACATTCACTGGTTTGAATATAAACAATTCAAAAACTCACCAAAGCAGGCCAGGGTTTATGGTTTTTCCATAACTTGCCAAGATACCAGTCACTCTGGTTGTCTACAAGGCCAATAGCCTTAACAGAATTCAAGAAAGCAAAAAAAAACTCAGTTTCATCATTCAAATCTTAAAACTCTTGTTACTCATGACCCCCAAGTAGTATACAAGAGGCAGCAACATACCCATACATGTACATGACAGATTGGACAGAGTGAAACATGCCATAATAACAATTACTTATTATAAAATAAAAGTAAGAATACTACTGGACCATCAAAGAAATCTTGAAAAAGATAACCACTATGTTAATATTGACCTTTCTTCCTGTAAGTTGATCAAACATCCTCCACAGTTCAGCAATATCAGAGGCAAATATGATATCTGTATCAAGAACAAGTACCTGTGGTGATAGATAATATCCATATTAAGAGCACAAACAGAGCAGTCATCATTGATAATAAATATGCATACTAAACAATGTGGTACTATTTAATATACAAAAATAGCTGACAATTTATATCTATACTTACCAGTAACTCAATATTTATTTTTATTAGTTTAATTTTCCATCACCAGATGTGTATGGGTAGGAACCAAAGAAAGCGCCTATCTTAAAAAATATTTAATTTTCATGCAAACTTGAATCTTGAAATGATAAGGTTTCTTTATTCCGTTTGTCTTGAATTACTTATTCATAACAAATTTCAGTCTTATAAGGGCCCCAGAAGTTAAAGTGGAAGGAATTTCTCATCTTTTTTAAACAAACAAGATCATTCATTCCTGGTGAAATAACTTGAGAAAGAAAAAATCATAACCTGAATTGATTAGCATTGTCTGGGTATCCTAGATTTCTTAAAACATTAAGTTAAGTTGGTCATAACCACATAATTGTATGTTAAACTTAATACCTTGTCGAGTGATAGTGGAAGAGCTTCGGTTAACACCAACTTCATTAAACCAAATATTCCAGAATAATGTTTATTAGGTATCCAGGACACCTTATCCTAAAATAAAAAAAACTACAATTATTATTATTCTATAAATAAATTGGTTTTGGGGAAAAAATACTTATAAAAAATAATCTTTCAGGAAACAATCCTGACATGCACAGACTTAGAGAGGAAGAGATCTGAAGTTCCAGTTATAGAACAAATTCAAAATGTAAGTGCCCTATCTTTTTTTTACTTTGCATATCTTTTTGTTTTTATTGTAATATGTGCTTTGAATAAACTAGCTCTTCCAACATTATACAGTAGAGGCATAGGTGGTAGTAATGGGTATTTACAGCACATAGTTTGATCTAGAGAGTAACAGGCTGACTCATTTAGTTGCCTGATCCTCTAGTTGAGAATAATCACACCAATCACAATTTTAATTGTCATTTGAGCCTTACAGCCAATCATATCATGGAAAAACTAAAACAATCATTCTTCATTACCCAAACCTAAGTAGAAGAAGTGATAGACAAACGTCTTAGTTTGTAATCTGATGATGACTTCCACCTGAGCAGGCTGCCAAAGTTTCAGTCATAGTGACCAACAACATTCCTTTTCAGGACTACTCTAATGTCCACATGACTAAACCAAAATATTTAATTAGCACTTGCTATTTGGGAAAACAGAGTTTTCATGGTTTTTTGGCAGTGCACTTTTCCAATTGATGTAAGCAGTGAGCATTACATTTTATGACAATGTCTGCCTCTTACCTTTAATGATTCAGTACTATAAAAACTAGTATCAACTGTAAAAAGAAAGTAAAGTCATTGCATTGTCAGCACTCTTTCTTGACCGTCAACTTTTTTTTTACTGATTTGAAAATATTTCTGTTAAAACTGAAATGAAACCATTCAAAATAAAACAAAGCCAAACTCCCATATAACAAAAATGTAGCCACCTCAATTTTTGGGTTGCATGTTCTACTGATATAAGTATCATCGATTTACAGGTTATAGTGTGTGCATCTAGGCTCTGACTATTGATCTAACACCCAGCATGACACTTCAACTTATTTCAATTTTTTTGTAAACAGACTTGGTTTCTCAATTGCAAACCCATATTAGTCAGTCATAGCAATTGATCCAAGGCATATACAGGGAAATATGAATGAGGTACCTGCTGGAATAGCCCATGTCTGAAAAAGGACACTCAAAATCTCCTGTCCTATGCTATCTGATATGAAATGGAAGTGGAGTGGATTGCGGCGGTGAAACAGAATAGACTTAATAAGAGTGACTACTTGGCGACTTGCACTATGACCTGCACAGACCACTGCAACGTGTATAACCTGGGAAGTGAAACAAAACTATTGAATAGAAGTTATACGCATTAGCAACTATATGTTCTTGTAAATGTTGTTAGTAAGTTTAATACAAACATTTACCAATTTAATAAAACACAGAAAGAAAATTAGCCTGTTAGTGAATCAATTTCAACTTGAAATCATTTCAAACTATTACATTCATACAAGTACTAAACATCTGCAGTGTAGTGATTTTGATAAAAGAGTGGGGCAATGTTTCAAAAAGGAAATCAACCAGGCATCAACAGAGTAAGTATTGTATGTACAAATACATTGTGCATCTCACTTTAACCTCGGACCAATACATTATACTACGAAATAACTACATTCAAGCTTGTTAAATGACCACAGGTCACCAAATTGGCAACACTTTGTGCCAATTCAGATGTCATTTTATTTCCATCTTGCTAGTGTAACTAACTGTAACAATGGTTGCAGTTTGTGGTGTTTTGTATTTGACTCTGTATCATACCTCACAACGGTAAAGGAAAAGGTCATTCTCACATGCAGTAGACTTGTTTCCTTCTGAAGTTAAGCAGAGAAAGAGAAGGGTGCATCACAAGGGATTCCAAAGATGATCATAATAATTATAACCTACAGTAATTATCATCATCATTATTATAGTTATAAAAGTAATTTATGATAATCATAAGTCACAAAATTAATCTTAACACATGATCAGAAATGAAAGAAACTGAAGAGACTACAGTTCTATTCATTTAGTTACAGCAAGAGTCACAAGACCGGTCCTTAGTTAGTACCTATAGAAGTGGAATGCAACTTGGTAGTCAAGGTAAAACATCCAAAAGTTAAGACCAGGTAATATTTTATTGAAAAATATCACCACTCAATCTATTCACTGTGTATTTCCCAAGAATCCAGTGTCAACCTACCTTGTTGGCTACGGCTATCTCTTTCATACAAGTCTTTTAATCTTTTTTGCACCACTTTAAGTTGTCTCTTTAGCTCTGTGTTTTCTGTCTGAACTCTCTCAAACGTTTTCAGCAAAGCCTGCCTTCTATCTGATATCAATAGTGAAGTTTCCCTTTCTGTTGAAGAAAAAGACTTCTCTGCACACCGTATTTGAATTAAGCATAACCTAAACTAAGAAAAAGTAGAACATACTTCTGTCATCTAGCTGGGAAAAAGGTGTGCATAATGAAACTGTGATCTTGAATTAACTCTACTGGTATGTATAATTTTTTCATTAATTCTTTTTTATATGAAAATACTATAAAACTCATCTTGACCCAAATGCGAAGCAAATGCAAGACATAAAACAGCCCATCACCAGCAGCCCAGAGTCTATATTGAGTTAGGAATAAACAAACTGTCCCATAATTAGTACCTTCTGTAAATATTTAAAATAGAAATGACTAATTCAGGGTATATACTGTGTGCTGTACTGTATGTTCAAGTCTGAAGATATTGCAAAAGCTATTGTGGGCAATAAGCAATCACTCGCCAAACACGTTAACTTGAAAAGCAATTTGCAAGCACTTCTTATAAAATAAAACCTAAGCCACAAGAAGCATTAAACTGAAATGCATACGATTATCACATCCTACAATCTTCCCAAGTTTGAACCATTTTTCATGGATCAATAAAACTTCTGGCTCAGACAGTTGGTTTCAAGATTTTGCTTGCCTTTCATTATTGATAATTTGGTAGTAAAACTTGCTAAAAATTTTGATATGCAGCTTTGACATGGCTCCATATGTGAACAAAAAGCAACAAACATGAGACATAGACAAAGTAAGTCTTTTTTTTCACAAAAAGGTAGTATCTTAGGACAAATTTAGTTTATCATCACAATTTGTACTGCATAAAAGCCAGACTGAAATTATAGCTCTCGTACAGTCTGGGTACCTGTTTCTTAATACTGGGTAAGTTGAGGTTGTTTTGTTAAATATCAGGCAAGCTTCATTAGTTCCAGGATAATTAGGCTTTACCACATGGGTAGAACTCACTTATGCAACACATGATCAACAACTACAAATAGGAACTCTTGATGCATCAAAGTTTCCGGTAATAATCCCCCCTTTTCTATCATTTTGTTTATAGAAATCCATTGATAAGAAAGACCATTTCATTAAGTTTCCAATTTTTAAAGTATTAATTAAAAATAAACCAGAGTAAAAATTTATCTGAAATGAGATGTTTCATGTCAATCAGCAATGTTATAATGACTGTAACCAAAATCACTACATGACATTAACAGCTGTCTCCAAATGCATTCCCTTAAATAATACACCACTGACATCTAATTTTTGTTCAGTTTATTCAACTTCTGGATTTACAAAACTGATATAAAAGAAAAAGAACAAACTAACACAGTGTAAAATTGAAAGCAAACCAACAGAGCCTTAAAACTGCAACAATTGATTGGAGGTGCACTCACACTTCACTACACGTACACTTATTGTACATTTTAATTGCACAATGTGGTAATCAGAAATCTCATTATCAGCATTCTAATTGACCCTGCTGGATGTTCAAAAAACATTTTGTCTATCCTGGGCCTCTTCAAAACCCATAATGAAGCTTCTGGATATAAATCTAATAGATGTCAATCAATTCCTCCTTAATGAACTATGCTTACTTTACTGATAAAAGTTATCATTCTTTTCCATGTATAACAATAATTTTGCATTCAGACATTTAAAACAGAGAGGCCATTGCACACTTCAAGTAACCGTTTTTCTTTTCAAGACTGAAAAACAATAAAGAAGCATAGGTCTCACTGACGAATAATTTATTGCTGTAAATTGTTTTCTCGTCTGTGTCTTCAAATTGCCAACGTGAATTTAACTCAATCAATTCAAACACTCAATCTATATATTGTCTTGAAGTGGAACAACAATAAAATAATTTCTTAGAACGAAGAAAGAAACATTTTGCCTTACGTCAAACCTACGCATTCCCTGCATTTTAATCAACGTAAGTTTGATACGGACAGATTACGTCTTTTTTATTAGCTTCACACAAAATGATGAGACAATAACAATCATGTTGATGGGGAAGAAGTTCTGAAAGACGCGAAAAATAGCCAAATGTCGAGAAAATTTAGGGGGACTTCAAAGAAAAAATAGTTCTGCTTTGTCATATGTTTAGAAAAAAACATCGTAGAAAGCTCAGGATAATTAATAATTTCGTACAATATTTCTTTAACAAAGTTTCCTGCAGATGGTCATACCTTCTCATAAACATTTTACAAATGTCACCGCAAAATACGACTTACAATTTTCGTTTTAGAAAAATAACGCCTAGCTTTGTTTTGAATAGGAAATGATAAGCATCTCTTAGAAAACAACTTTCAAATTAGCTGTGCGGTGTCGGTTGAGAAAAGAACGAACAGGAATAAAATTATACAATAAAAATCTTGATGGGCAAGTCAGTAAGGGAATATTTTTACATGCATAGACAAAACTCTGGACATTTCGATAATTACAATATATTTTACAACAGCCAAATGGGCTTTCTCCATAATTGCCGCGTATTGACTGTTCGAGGACTTGTTCCATTCATGACCAGCTTCTGAGTTATATTTTAAACTCTTTTTTGTAGGTGGCAAGAGGAAATAATTATAATTTATAGAGAAGTTGTAATAGAGCTCACATGGAGATCGAATCTCGCTTAAAGTGTAAGCCTTTTTTTACCACACATTGCCCCTTAAAGAGGAATTACATCAAGAAATACGACAAGTAAATTAATATTTTACCTTTCATGGAGTAGTCCGGCGGTGTTATCCACCATAATACCAACGACGAACTTAAAGACAGCGATAACAAAACTACTATGGTCCGAATTTTCACAAATCCCATACCAGCGGTCAGCATACTATCTGAATAAAACCCTATCCTTGCCACAATACTCGATATCAAATGTGTTTTGAAACGTAAACCCGCCGTCAAACTTGACTTCCATCGTCTACTTAGTATCTTGACATTCTAGTTACGGAAGAATTCAAATAAAAACAGTAATTACTTCGCGGGAACTTCACAAATTCTTTAGTGCTATTCAGATTGTCATTTCAAATGTTTATGTACGCGGGCGCCAAATGCAAATATACAAAATAATGCGTGAGGAACTGGTAACTTATAAATAGTCCCCTGGGGGTATAGGAGTGGGCACGTGTTACACCCATTTCTCTAATCTATTATTTATCAACCTTTCAAAAATATTCCGGCAGTTCCGGTATTTGTATTTAGCAACGCCCATCTTTAACCTTAAACTGCCCACGGGCTCAGAGAAATAAAAGGTACCACCTACATTAGGTGACGTCACATGCCCCTTGATTGCAATTTATTATAAAATGTCACGAATTCCAATTCCTCCTTAGCCGACATTGAATTTCACTGTTGTTAATAATAACAGCCTTGGTTCAGTTTATCTATGTTTCAAATTCTAATTTATTTCCGTTTGAATTCATTGCATACATCCCAAACAGAGACCAACAGCAAATAAAATTTCATCACATTCAAACACAACTTGTTACAGAGACATAAGCAACAACTGGTGTCAAATTAATACACCCCCCCCCCCAGAAAAACCTTTCTTTTTAAGATTACTTGACTCCTTTACACACAAGAATTAGTAAAGAATTGCACTTATAATTGAACATTCAAGCAATCTAGCATGTCATGGTGTTTTCAAATAACTAGCCACACTTCTGAGTTTGTAACCCATGACATCCCCCCAATAATGATAAACACTTGATTTCTAACCACAAAATGAAAACATCCTCCTAGAAACAGGTGACGAGAATTCACAAACTTATCAGCCAGATGATGTTCTCTGTTTTATTTCTAATTGTACATACACATACATGTTTTAAAGAGAACTTCTGTACTCCTAGGTGTCACGTGTTTAAATAAAGGATTGATTGATTGAGGATTGATTGATTTTTACATATACTACTGGTTTTCAATTTAGTGTATGGCAGCCAGTTCATTCAGGGCTGGGTTAAGATAGCCTAGCGCTAGCATAAAATCAGATTTTAGATCTGAATGCTTTAAGAGAAAATTCAGTACAGTTCTTTAAGTCTACAATTTGATGGCCTAGAAAGAGTATAGAAACCTCTTCAAAAAACTCTTTTGAACAAGGGAATAAAGAAACCAGCATTAAAATTTAACCCTGGGTTAGCATTAAATTTCCTTCAAACAAGTGGGCCCAGATTTCAAGGAATAAATCCTGCGTGCCAGCAGCTGACTCACAAACTACTCAATTTCCTCTATTTTCTGTACCTATTTAATTATTACCATGCAAGTTTACCAAGAAGAGATCTAAATGAATTACAAAATGAAGTGGTGTGGGAAAAAAGACTCTTTTATTCTAAGGTCTTACTTATTGTAATACTCTGGCAGCATAATCAAAATTGTCAGATATAAAAGTGTGCAAAATTAACATGCCACATGCAAAGTTTGAAGAAAGCTAATTGCGATTTCTGAATTTTTAAGGCATGATTTCCCTCCTAAAATATATGTGACCAGTCAATTCTTCTTTCATTTTGTGAAAAGATCAAGATTTCCCTGAAACCGCTAGCACAAAAAGAGGAATTTGAAGTTTTCCCTTTGATACACATGATACATGAATTTTAATAAAATTTGTGGAGGACTCCCCCTTGCTACTCTCTTCATAGTCTTCACACTAGGATTCTAACAAATATGTGTACCCTTGACATGGTAAGTAATGCCTTGAAGATATTATCAATAAAAGTTAATTAAAGATCAATAAAAATAATATTTACCTAATTGCTCTATTTTGTCACAAATTTTCATCCTATAACAATGAGGAACAGAGCACACAAAGAAAATTAACTTTTCTTTCAATGGATGTTATGTTAAAAAAATAGCCTTCCATATTTTATCAGAGTTTTTCAAGCTAATGCAAACAAACAATCTTCACAATCCTATTTAGGCTAATGCCTAAATAATTATTTCATTCATTACAACTCATCCAACTCCCCCCTAGTATTATGATTGATCAAGTAGCAAAAAAAGCTGGTATTAATTGGTCAAACACATTTTTTTGAGAAAATAAGATTTGAGAATTTTTACAGCAGCATCAAAACACATTAAAAATGTAAATGATGACTTAAACAGCTCTGCTAATTCTTAAAATAGGCTAACAGAATTGAAAAAAATGAATCTCACATGCACCAAGAAATTAGATACTACATAATTTATTAGAGTGACCATAGTTTATATCAAAATGTATGAAATGCATGAGTAGATATTTTGTAAGCACAACAAGCTATGACTATAAGGATTAAATAGCATTTCCTATCTTTGCCAGCAAAACAGGAGTTAAGATTTCATCAAGGTCTCTAATTCTCTTCTGAAAACGAAGTCGGTCCAAGGCTTCCATCTCCCAGGTTCCTTTACGAGCTTGTTTGTAAGCGAAGCTCCAGACAATCATTGGATGAATGACAGTGAGTTCATTATCAGGCTTAAAGCAAACTCTCTTTTTCTTTTTATTGCCAGACACAGTTTGACCAGCTATGTTCCTAAAAATGAAATCCTTGTTGCTCTTTATCTCTGTCTCTTCACAACTCCCTCTGTTCGGAATCAGCTTTTCAGAAGTGTAATACTCGTTATGTTGCACCATTTCCTGAATAACTAAATCCAGTTTGATATCAACTGAATCCATTACTGAAACTTCACAGTACATTTTTGGTGACTGAAGTACAGTTTCACTTTTGGTGGGAAGTTCATATTGATCACATACAAAATCAAACCTCGTACAACAGTTTCCCTCGCCTGTAAATGAACTGTCAAATATCACAAAATCCTCACAGTCAGAATCCCAGTCAGTACAACCAGAATCACTGGAAGGTAGAACACTTGATGTATCAGACTGCTCAATACCAAAACAGATAAACATGCGCACAAGCTGACCATCTTCATTGTAGATGCAGTCATTAACAAATAAATTCAGTTCATCCTTGTCATCACTATCCTCACACATCACATCAGGGAACACCAAGAATGATGCTTCTTTAGATTCCCTCTCTGTCTGAGCCTCACTAAAGTCTTTGTATAAAATGTCATCTCTCATGGAAATGTTTGAAATCTCCATCAGGTTGCAGTGTTGTTCACCTTCAGGACAAGCTGGAAAATTGGAGGATGATTTGAACTGACAGTAAAAATCTTTCACCTTCTTTAGTGGGCAAGCAGCCATATTCGTTGCCTCAGTTTTCTTTGACCTGTGCTGCATAGACTTCTGCACAGAGTTTTCCAACTTTGTTTCACCAAAGCTACTACCCCAAAATGTTTGCAGTGTGTTTGCTCCAGAGTGATTTGAAAAGAATTGCCAATAACTTTGAAAATGTATAGGAGAGATATAGTTTTCCACATGTGGCTTTAAACCATTGATCGTAGTAGTGGATAAAACTTGCCCAGCAGTTACCACCTTTCCTTCAGTTGTGTCTAGGTTGGGAACCTTGCTTTGTATTGCAGGTCTGCAAAAATGCATGTCTGTTCCTAAAAAATAGGAAGAAGTTCATTAAATCATTATAATCAAACTAATTATTATCCAAATTTTAAATTTGGCCTATACCTCCAAAGGTATATAGAAACCATCATATTAAGTCAGCATCTATAACAACCTATTGGGATCTTAGACATTATTTCTCCGAGAACTGGCTTCTTAGGTAACAATAGAAGTTTTATCATCCATCAAAAACAGAACAAAATAAAGTGCTCATACGGCAAGAACCGAGCTTGGTCTTTAACCAAGTAGCTTTCAAGAAGCAAAGATGGGGGAGGGAAGCTTAAGGGGAGCCTTATCTAATATCACTTGAAATCATATGCTGTCGTAGTTAGTTTGAACCAAACCCAGCATAGACCGACAAAGTGACCAGTTAGAAAGGATTTGAAAATGTTACGGTTTGTCTTTCATGAACTTTGGATGTTGTATTTTTCACCGTAAAAGTCTGATGCAATTCGACCACTGTGCGGCAAACTGTTTCCTCCATTTCTAAGAAATTTTAAACCAGGTTAACTTATTTTAATTAAATATATATTTTTTAGACATATATTATCTACCCGACTGGGCAATTTTATCTACGATAAAGGAAAAATAAAAGAAAAAATTCCTACTTCTCCTTGTTGCTTAATCTATGCGAAACAGACAGGTTCCAAAAAAGAAAAAGTGATTTATACTCACCTTTCAGCCACGAACCATACACGTTCCTGCACAATTTTACCACATAAGGAAATCCGACGCATACAAAGGCGCCTTCCATTAATGTCACCAACATTTGATCCAACATACTTCTTTTTTATTTAAGTCTCTTGCAAGTTTCGTTTGATATTGTGTACCTTTTACACTGTTTTCGCAAGCTTGAACAAGTTTGTATACGATTTTTCCGTGACTACGATGCCACAGAGTATTTACTAATTCCTGGGGCGAAATTACACTTGGCCTTCTTTTAGGAGAATTAATCTTTTTGGTAAAGTCGTATTTCTCAACCACGTCCATACTGTGTTTGTAGTTTCATCCGCTGTATTCTTTCAGGTTCTAAACATGACGAATAATGATCCTGTTTATACTTCCAGAGGTGACCAGTAATATCAGAGGATGATGCAATGAATGAATGAAATACAGCACGCCGGTTCTTTCCCTGCGTCATTTCGTGATAAATTACACGGATAGAGTCAGATCGACCGTGCCATCGGCTAAAAGAAATCTTCTTGAAGTCTTTTCTGATTAAAAACCCTCAGTATGTGAAAAGACCACAAGAAGTTTTCCTTCTGGTAGCTTCTCGGCGATGCTACCGATCAGCCAACTTGAAAAGCTGGAATCAGAGGCGTGATTATCTTTCACCACCCATGAAAGTGGTATTTCCTTCTCTCCCCACTCCCTCTCAACACTATGCCCAACCTTACACACATGCACACCCCAATCATGTGTCGTAGTGTTCATTAATCTGGAGAAAAAAAATTGAAGTTTCACGAATATAAAATAGGATCATATCAAAAAATAAATTTTTTGTCATTCTAAAAGAATATTTCACTTTTGAGACAGGCATTAGCACAATTTAACTGACGACGACTTGTTTCAAACGGACTCAGGTAAAGGTGAAGGTGTAAGTCAAGAGAAAAGCGGATGGAAAACTTTTCTTTCTTCATTTATTTTTTTTTTTCGTTGTGTTTTGTACTGTGTCAGGGGTAGATGCTCCTGACTGTGTACATGTGTCGTTGTTGCTACCGTTGTCGTTTTTCCCCTTGTTTTTTCGAGCAAAACTCTTTTTTAAGTTATACCCATGCAAAATAACTTTCATACGGGTTTCTAAATTGGAAACATTTTTCATTGGGGGGAATGACCCTCTTCGTTAAAGGTGGTCAACCCAAAGATGGGGCACTCCCCCGCGAAAAAATATTGTCCGAACACCCAAAAAAGCAGCTGCATCCCAGACTAGACAGCGGGTCGCAGATGTCACGTGATACTGTAAGTTGTTGTTTTTCTCAAAGCTAAGGCTTTAGTGAGATTCGTGACTAGAAGAACCGGAGGTAAGGTTGTAGTAAATCGTATTATGACGATATGTGCTACTTTTCTTTCTTGTAAAAGTCAGCATGAGATTTTCCTGATTCTGAACTGTCTTAGTGGTTGGAAATTTGCAAGCCTGGGCAGGTTAATGCACATTTAGTTTAAGGAGTGGTGATACCGAAGAGCTCTTTACAAGTGCCGTTAAAAGCCTCTAATGCAGCCTGGAACTCATTTCTTCGCGATAAATGTTTCAAAGGCAATTCGCTATCGGGAAATATTCGAACGTTCTCTGTATCAGCTTGTTGTTAGGTCGAATTCTACAATATTATGCGATGGCTTCGTCAACATTTGTGGTAATTTTCCTAAATAACGTTTCACTTTGTACTGGCAATTCGCTCGAGCCCGAGGTTAATTGCTGTATTTGACAGTCAATACACTTTAACTAATTGCAAACCTGCGGTCGTTTCAGCCGTTTAATGCTTACGACAAGTGTGGTTTAATATAGAAAACTACGCTGGAACTAGTTACAAGTTGTTTGGCCAACTCGTGCATGTGTTTTGGTTTCATTTGAAGAGATGGAAACATTTTGGAGACTGACAAACAGATTCGACTTTGACAAAAAAATTCATTTGAAGCGAAATGACAACGTTGGCGTTTTTGATATCCTTATTTTGAATAAACTGAATCGAAACGTGTCGGATTTAGTGAGCTTATCGGATTAGCAGTGAAACAACTGCGAAACCCTTGCGGAGTATTTCCATGATTGGTTTCCATATTAATATAAGTATGCAGATGTTTTTTTAATGTATGCTCGCAACATGGTGTAAGATTAAGTTTTTCTCGAATCAAACAGCCGTTTCCCTTTTATGATTTAAAATTTTTACATGCTTTGTGGGTTAAAATTTTTTTGCTAAAGTGTCATCAACTTAATGGCAACATCCTCTGCTTTTACTTTCATCAATAATTGATTACTGTTTCCTAACTCTTCCAATTTGCATCTAGTTGTAGCCAAAATCCCATGATGGTTAGACAGAATTGTGATTAACTGAAGTGGTTATCATTTTGCTGATATTTCAAAACTTGCAGAAAAGAGAGCAAACTTCTTGTAAAGGGGAATTATTTGGGGAAATCTGCCTACTAGAGCTGCATGATCCTCACTGCTTCATCCTATATTTTTCAAAATGATGTCATTCCTAGATACATTTATTTAGATTCATATTTACATGCATTTTGATTGGTTGTTGCTTATGTTTTTTGGGGGGGACAGATGCATGGATATAATGATGTTGCTGTCAACAAAATGTTTCCTGTTTATTTCAAAAAACAAGTAGATTCTATGTTGCTTGGGGTTTGTTTAACAAGAGATTGCAGAAGTGGTAACAACATCAGTGATACTCTCGGCAGTGCCTTGTATGCCTTTTATTGTTCTCACCACATTTTTTTGTTGTCTGTGACAGAACAGATACACAGCATCTTGGAATCCATTTGATATATTTGACTTTTATATTTTTTAGCCAAAATGTAAATTTCCTTCTAAAGGATGTACCTGACCAAACTTAAATTAACAAAATTTCATTTTACAGTAAAATCATGATTAAGGTCTATAACTGAAGGGGAAAAATCTGGACTATTATTTTACTTATACAGGACTGTGGTACTCATACTATAACACATGTCAACTCTGCAAATTTTTCCAAACCTTCTTAACTCTGTGACTGCCAAAAATTGATTAGTGAGTAACTTCTCCAAAACACATGAACACACTCTCTAGCAAACATATGATATGAAAAGAGGAACTATTATTAAGGGGGTTTTCTGTGGAGCCTCGCTAAATTCTCTATCATAATGCAAAAGGAAATAGCAATGTTCAGTTAAGTGTCCAAAGTAAATCAGGAATTCTGTGATTGGTCCCAAAGACCTGGAACCATCCCTTGCCAATCAACCACAACCTGGTCACTTGCATTTTCCTGCACCTCAGGCAGTTTGCCTGTCTTCGATGACTGAATTCTTTTTGTTTTGTTGGTTGTGAACTGGTATTATCCATGATTTGCCCTAAAAACATTGACTTGCCATGATTGAATTGACATGGTTCTGTTCAGTCACCCATGGTAAGGGTGACTTTATTTGGAGATAGGTTTACAGTTTCCCCTTACTATGCTCAAAGATAAGGTGGCACTGCATTTTCATTAAAGACAAAATGTACAAGCTAACTATTATCCAAAATGAAATGAGTGAATAATGGCTAGCAAGCCCATTTGGTTGCATTACCTAATACCTATTGGCAAAACACACCATTGCTGGCATGCTGTTACAGATGTATTTCAGGAAATACTGGAGCTTGTTCAACAATACTAAGGCAGTTTTAGTTTCAATACATGGTTTTGGTATCAGAACATGATGCCTTCAAGCTGCATGCAAGTGTTTTGATGTAACCCATAATCACCAAGACCTTTCTACGTTTTAGAAACACCTTTTCACATAGAAACACTGTGATGGCAGTGGAAGGAGCAGCAAAGGTCATCAAAGTCTTGTTATTTGTCTTCAACTTCATATTCTTTGTAAGTTCGATGTGTTTGGGATAGTAGACAAATCAACTGAGGCCTTGAGTTACTTTATTTCTTTTTTATTCCAAGCTTCCGTGGATCTACAGCATGGTCAGGGAATGCGACAGTGCCAGAGATCAGCAAAAAAAGAAATACAATGTATAGTAGCTCCAGGCCTCATTTGCATCATTCATTCAATCAACATTCTACAGGAGGACAACTTCAAGTGATTGTGATAGTGCTTTTCATTAACGAAACAAACCATTTTATATGTAATGCGTCAAAAACCAGTGCAAGTTATTCATCTGAGAAACAGATGAAAGGATGAGGCTGCAAGGCGATTGCTTTTTTTGTTTTGAGTTTTTGAGGTGACTTCTCAAACAAAACTGTAAAAGAATATGCAGTGAATGATACATTCTTTTTCCATTGTCCTCCCCAAATGAAAGAAAAATAATTTTTGCAGAGATGCAATTTTGCTATATTCTCTGTGACATGTTAGCATGCATGATTAATTGTTTTGAGAATGAATGGGCAGTGACAATTTTTGACAAATAGCAAATTTCTCGGTTGGTTATAGCTCCCATTTTAGATCCAGGAGGGCTATTAAAAGACTGTGATTTACACAAGGTCACACAGCTTTCCACCAGTATTGAAGAAATGGATGCAGTTATGGTAGTTATGAAAACAAAGACCCCCGAAAATGAAGACCTAAGACCCCCCATGAAAACAAAGACCCATTATGAAAAACGAAGACCCCTTGCAAAAATGAAGACCATTACAAAAACGAAGACCCATTACAAAAACAATAGAAGCAATAAAGCAATACAGAAGCAAGACACCTGTATTCTTTGCTGGTAAAAACCACAGGGAGTAATGGTGTGAAAACAGGTAGTCACGAAAACAAAGACCCCGAAAACGAAGACCTAAGACCCCATATGAAAACTAAGACCCATTACAAAAATGAAGACCCCCTATGGAAACGAAAACCCCCTACAAAAACAAAGACCCTTTACGAAAACGAAGACCCATTACAAAAACGAAGACCCCCTACGAAAGGGAAGACCCATCATGAACACGAAGACACATTACTAAACCACCATTACCCCCTGTGTTTTTTGCCAGCAAAGAATTCAGGTGTCTTTTTTTTCTGTGTTGCTTCACTGTTTGTTATTGTTTTTATTTTTTTCGTAATGGGTCTTCGTTTTCGTAATGGGTTTTCGTAATGGGTCTTCATTTTCATAATGGGTCTTCATTTTCGTAGGGGGTCTTAGGTCTTCATTTTCAGAGTCTTCGTTTTCATAACTACCATGCAGTAACCTTGAATTAGCAAGTTTGTGATGGAGGTGGCCAAGAAGTCAGGGAAGAGATACCCACCAAAGACCATTTATGAATTATTGTTCAGGTCATTTTTGGAATTGTTGTGAACGATGTATTAATTGTTGCAAAATGCTCATCAAAATGCAAGTGTTTGATCTGAGACCAAAACCATGTTTCAATTCAGATCAAAACCCTTAAGATTTTCATCACGGTGCTTATTGGGTATCAAGGTTCATGCGTGTGACCCAAATATGCCTCATTTGTTGGCTGTTTCCCTCATGGATTTTTGATGAATTTAAGAAAGGTAAATGAAAAATCAATTTCAAGTCATAAATGTAATTTTAGAGTATATATGGTTTTCTTAGCTTGGAGGTATTGGCTTGCTTGGAGTGGGAATCTATGTTCAGCTAAAGATCGGAGATTATGTGGCACTTTCCTCAGTGAAATATGTTACAGGATCGATTATTATCATTGCTGTTGGTGCAGTTATTGCTGTGATAACATTCTTTGGCTGTTGTGGGGCTATCAAGGAAAGCAGATGTCTTCTTGGAACAGTAAGTTGAAATTGTAAAATTCTCTCTGAATTTGTCATAGTATGGGCAACTGGTATTCATGGTTCTATCCATTCAGTGTTAAATAATGAGAAATCTTTTTTTCTTGTGTAGTTTTTTGCCTTGATGTTGTTGGTCTTTGGCTTGGAAGTTGCAGGGACATCTTTGGGTTATGTTTACCGAGATCAGGTATTTTTGAAATTTTAATTAAATATTAAGGATTAATAAAGATATTGGCTCTGGTTGCACTACACAAGTTAAAGGAAGATAGATTCCTTGAGTGTACAGAAAGAAAGCAAAAAGAAAGAAGAGAAGCAAGAAAATAAGAATATGGTCCTCAAAGTCTCCATTTTTTGTTTTTGTTTTTTTGCTAACCCATTTCATTGCAGCCATTCAAAAATATCAGCCCACTGTTTCATTCAACCTTTCACTGATGCAGGTATTCATTGAAGGTATTCCATGAATACCTACCAATGGGTATCAATGTTACCTACCTTATTATAGGAAATTAATGCTGCACGAATTTAACGCGAATTGTTAAAATTTGCATTAATTTAAGTCACGTAATTTTTGTTGAGCATTAATTTCCGTGACGTTAATTAAGTGCAGCGTTAATTTCCACGCTCTTAATTTCCAATATTTTAACCCCAATGTTGGAACCTGTCCAGACATTCTTGACACTTAAAAAACGTTAACTACAAGCTTTCTTTCTCTCCATTTACCCTTTATTTTTAATCTTTCACAAAAGTTAAGGCAAGGGTTTACAGTATTTCGAGTTCATCTTCATCGTTGTCACTGTCAGAAGTGATGTCAATATCTTCTCCTTTGATTTCGGCCAAGATAGATTTCGAATCGTCAACTGACAGCCTTTCTCGACAGAGTATGACACTTCCTCTGTTCTCTCTTTCAAAATCGCCAGACTTCTTGCATTGCTCCACTGGACAGAAACAACCATTGGTATTTCAAGGCCTCCTTGAATTAGTGGCAATCTTTTCGGCTTCACCGAAATAACTCTTCCTGTAAATTTGGCTCCTTGTTCCAAAGCATACCACACATAACAGCTCAGTTCTTTTGGTACATCACCAACAACCACATGGCTCAGTTTTGTTCAGTTGTAAATTTCTTGGTATCCAGTGTTGAAATAAATTTGTTCTAGTTGTCACCACCAACTGTGTCTTAATCCCATTAATTACCTTTATTGTGAAATTCTACCTCCTCTTTCGCATTAATCTTCTTTATTTGAAACTCGTTTTCCATTAAATTTGTGTTAATTTCAGTTGCATCAATTTCCAACACCTTAATTTCATAGAGCATTAATTTCCTGTAATAAGGTATGCTCGAAACGTCAGCTTTTTAACTCTTTATTATGGCCAATTTACAATTTCAACTTAGTTGATATGACCAAATTACCTAGTAGAAACTCAGTTTGGCTGGTGGTTTTTTATTTCCACCAGCCAGTTTGGCTAGTAAACAAACTGAAACTGTCATAACATCTAAGATGTCACTAGCCACTTGGCTAGTAAGTTGAAAAGTTAGTGTCAAGCCCTGGGCTCAGTTTTTTGGAAGTCTGAAAATGAAATCAGAATTGGCTGGGCTTGAAGTTAAGGTGTTTAAGTTCTTTCATAAATATTTGACTGGGCTTGAAATTAAGTTACTTAAGTTCTTGCATAAAAAATGAGACTAAATGATCAATAATTTTTAATTTGACAGGTGAAAGATGAGTTACTGAAGGATCTGAATCAGACACTATATCAGTATGGTTCTGAGGACAAAGAAGGAGTAACAAAAGCCTATGACCTTCTGCAGGAAAAGGTGTGTTGAACTTATTAGCATCTTATTGAGGTTAAGGTTTAGGACCCTGGTGGTCCATTAATCCCAGAGTTTGCCCCCATTTACCCAGCTTGAGGAGGCCTAACTCCTCCAGGACATGATAGTAGAGAATTTAAGAAACCACGACGGTGACACCAAGGAAGACTTCGATTAAAAAATGAATTTCTACTCTTAGTTAGAATTTCAAAAATGGCTGCAGGAGCTTACTGTCTCCTACAGCGCCACAGCTCAACTTCAGCATGATGTATAAAGTAGCCGTTGAGTTCCAAATGGAAATTAAAATAATTTGCCGTCGCGGTTTCGGTTCGCAGACGACGCAAATTTTGGCGATTTCACGTTGTTGTTTTGCATAGGACGGCTAAGAAATGTACAAAGTTTCAAAACTCACGTGCTGAGCTATTGTTCTGCAAATTAGATCTCTTGTTTTTCCACGTCCTCGTTGCCGTCGCCGTCGCCATCGCCATCGCCGTCGCCTTCGTGGTTTCTTAAGGTCCCTAGTGAGCCATGCAAGACTTGTACTGTTAAACCTTTAGCTCTGGAGTCTTGTATGTTCACCACTTTGTGTCAAGTTTCTGTCATCTTTTTTGAGCTAAAGCCACAATATCCTAGGAAAGGTAGTGGTGCTGATTCTCATGAACAGCTGATTTTACCCTAAAAAAGTTGAATTCATGTGATAAGCTCAAATACATGTTGTTGATTATTTCTTTGTCAAGAGCTTTTGAATAGCCCCCTTGCAAATTGTCATGGTAAATCTTTCCTTTTTTCCAAGTTTTTTTGGGGCCATATTGAGGAATAAACATAGGTAGAGGAGATCCAATGCCACAGTAATGGTCTCTTACTATCTGGGAAAAAGAAAAAAATTCTTACCTCGAACCCCAAAGATGGACACAGTTGTTTTGTGAATTAATGCAGGAAAAATGCTGTGGTGTGAATGGATACAGGGATTGGCGGAGTACACCTTTCACTGATGGGAACCACAGTAAAGTTCCTGACAGTTGTTGCAAAGAAGTCAAACCAAAATGTGGAGACACATCAGTTGTCACAGGAAACATCTACACAGAAGTTGGTGCATTTTTACTCTTTATCAATTATTATTAGTTTACAAGCACTTAATTTTGGAAAAATAGAGGAAAAAAGTTGGTAAGAAGAAATTTTGCAAACCTGGAAAGTAAATCATTGTGGAAGGAACTTGTTTTTGTGCAGATGCTTTCTAAAATCTGATCTGTATCTGATCTGCTGTCTATAATAGTTATTAAATTTATAACTTAAAGTTTATATTCTTCTATTTCAGGGTTGTTATAAGAAGACACTTAACTTACTCAGAGACAACCTGATTATAATCTTTGGAATAGGCGTTGCAGTAGCTGTCATCCAGGTATATTGATTGTATGCTTTTGTTTTTGTTGTGTGGTGGGGTGGGGAGGGAGGGGTAACTAACAGTTCAAATGTAACAGCTGGCAAAGAAGATGGTAACTCATAGAAATCAAATGAATAGTTGCTGGATAAAGCTTGTAACACTTGCTTACTAAAACAATTCCAATTACCAGTATGTTCCCTCCTCGAAGGATGAAATATTTTGGGCTTGATCCATATGAGTGCTCATAACAGAGTGTTTGTGTTGATTATGGTAATTGAATTGAAATGCACCCATTGGTTGGTCTGGTCCATGTTATATTTTATCTAATTTTTAATAGTGTCATACATGGTTTGTTTGTTTTTTTGGTTATTCTCTCTCACTTATTCCTGTTTCTTATCTACATGATGAATGTTAGGTAATTGATGAAACATCTTCTTAACACTAAATTGATTTGAATCCTTACTTCACAGCTTCTCAGCATGATATTTGCTCTGGTCTTGATATGTAAGATCGGCGACCAAAGTACATATGCTTAGCAAATGAAGCTCACCAAACTTATGCACTGCTGTTTTAAAGAAGTTATGTCAGGTTCTGCAATGTGAGAATTATTACAGGATGGAACTCAGTTTGTGGACCTCACAGGAAGATTGTACAATGTAGTATTCAATATAAAGTAATTGTTTCTATTAAAGTGTGAACATAGAAGAAAATCGGCAAGTGCTTGCAGCTCGTAACACAGGCAGTCCAAGCTCACTACAAGAAAAGCGGACGTGACTCTTACAGTATTGTGCAACGTTTTACACAATATCTCTCAGACTTGATAAAAATCAAAGTGAGTTCGCGGTCTCAGTTGAGATCACACGGGGCATACTCCCAATCGATAACACCTACAGAACAAAAAAGACACTCGGGGATAGGGCGTTCGAACATGCTGCGCCCAAAGTATGGAACCGACTACCTCTGAAAATTAGACAGTGTCAATCGTTGGATATCAGTGTCAATCGTTGGATACTTTTAAAGTTTTACGAAAGACACATCTTTTTAATTTAGCTTTCTATTAGTTCTTTTATTAATTCATATTTTACCTTTATTGTTTTTCCGAAAAATTGTAAATTATTATTATTACTATCATTATTAGGATTAGCCTCATTGCTGTAAGATTTTCAATGTTGTAATGCGTATTTGATCATATCTTTTATTGCATGTTAGACTGCGCAATATAAGAAATAAACATTATTATTATTATAAAGGTTTGTATGGGATGTTATCGGTTTGCCTTAATGTGGCTGAACACAGTTTTTGATACCTGTGTTTCTTTCACCGTTTTCTCTAAAACCCGTGATCTCTCTGTCGCCAAAACTGGCAGCAAGCAAGTTAACAACACAAACTTTGCTTTTTCCATAGTTAAGCTGACGCAGCTGCCGTTGCCATGGTGACATAAATATAAACAGGCCTTTAAAATCGGTTGTTTATTTGTGGAAAATCTAGTCATGAGATTTTCTTTATAATTTGCATGCAACGAGCTTGTAACGATACCCACAAGTTAACACCATTTTGCTAGCAATTTAACAGAGAGATCTTTAATTATTCCTTGTTGAAGGTTCACTCTATTATCTAGAATTTCCTTTGTTAAAAATCTTTTTTTTTCAATACTCCAGTTACTTATTTCGTGAAGTATTTTCGTGCCAAATTTCGTGAACTTCTAATGAGTGGTTCTCAAGAAATAGGCATATTTCCGAGAAAGCAATTTTCCATTCAATCACAATTTATTTACTTGCCACGCATGCGCTGTATTTAACTGGGTTCTTTCGGTAATGGCGAAAAAGCTGAGAATTTGCTGAGTTCTTTGCACATTTAACTTTTCTAACATGTCTTTGTATTAAAAGGTTAAAGCCCTCAATACACTGCGCCAATTATAGAGAAAAATAGCACTGATAGTGTTGAGTAAATAAAATGACTGCTCTATTGACATGTTTTTTTGCAATCCTTGTGCGCGCGCTGAATTGCATCAGCAAAAGCGCGCGCGAAAACTGTGTTCAGCCACCTTAAAAGAGAGAAAAAATATCTTGTTTTGAAATAAAATGGACCCACCTTATTGCCTTGTATTTTTTTTTTGGTTACCAGCGTCTCAGGCCATTTTGAAGTGTGTTCGGCGAGTTAGCGCTATTTTGGTGTTCAACTGCTAAAAAAAGACTTTTTTTAGCAGTTAAATCACCTAAATAGAGCTAACTCGCCGAACACGCTTCAAAATGGCCTGAGACGCTGGTAATCAACAAAGAATACAACAAGGCAATAAGGTAAGTCCATATTATTTCAAAACAAGATATTTTTTCTCGCTTTTAAGGCAAACTGATAACATCCCAAACAAACCTTTATAAATACAAAACGTTGCGCAACACTGTAAGTAGTCACGTCCGCTTTTCTGGTAGTGAGCTTTGGCTGCCTGTGCTCGTAAATGTACGATTGTGTAGTTTCATAGCTTACACCTCAACTATAAGATCTTAAAAAATTTAAGTTTTTAATTTGTCACAATGCATCGGTGAACATAGGCTCGATTACCAGTCGCTGTTAGAGAACTGGAGCCCGCGCGGGGAGGAACGAAGGAGAACCGGACTTGAGAGAGCGGCGGAAATCGAGCCTGCGGTAAACACTGTTAAAACAAATGTGCTGATTTGTATCAGCACTCATCTTGTTTATTGATGCTTATTTTATCTCTCAGTTGGTATGTGCGCTATTATTGGTGAGTTTAGTGCACCGTATTTCACTGTACTCCTGGTTTTTCACGATTCGTACTGAATGTTATGGAACCTGGTTTTTTTCTGTTCGGATTCATGCCGAGCAGAAAAAACTCGATCCCTAATATGGACCTCGAACTTGTTCAGTAAGAGGTAATTATATTCCCATCGTACATTTTAGCAATCAACACACAACTTCTCAATCAAACAACGTCCTGTCTTGTTAACTTTTTTATGAGAATTAAAACAACACTAACGGCCCCTTACTAGTCTAAGTGTTAACTAGTTTAGTCAGGGTAGCTTGTTGAGGTGACACTTTGCTATGCTTGGTGTAGGATTCAGTAGATACTGCCATCCTATGCCGTTTTTAGATACAGAAGAATTGGCAGTAAAGTTTTGACTCGTTCATGTCCAAGGTGGTAAACCTTATTTCTCCCAACCGACAGCCTTAGATTTTATTAGTTGGCTTACTGTCAGAATTTGGCGTTTAACAATCCTGTAGTTGACGTGTCACTTTAAAATTCTTTAATCGCCAGTGTAATTGACTGTATTAAAAGTGTGAAAAAAGTTGCATTCTGATCATTACTGGGAGTTTAAGGGTTGTCTTCCTTTCATTATAGGGACGAAGTATGTTTGTAAGGTTAAGTTATTGTTTAACTTTCATGTGACGACACCTTTTCCACGTCTTTTAAAAAAACACTTCAGTTTTTTGTTCCGTTACCAATCACTCGCCCATTTTCTTGGTATCGTAGAAGGTAATTCCTTGACCTTCCATTTTATTTACTCACACGAAACTTTCAATACCGCTTATCCTAACTGTATACAGGGTGCGTTTCGCTTATGAACCTTGTAATAGCCTAACCCACTTGTTAGGAAGACGTTAATGAACTTGTGCGCGTGCATTGGGACTACGTAGGCTACTAATGTCGTAAGCAAATCACGCGGACCTTTTAATTTTGACGTGTGCGATTTTTTAGAGGGAGTTGAAAAGTTTTTAGTTTATCGAGTAGCAGTTTTGTTTAATGGTCGTTGTCGTTTACCGTGAGTCTACAGTCTACCGTGTTGGAATTAAAGTGTTTGTTTGGATTTCCCGTCTGGCTTCCGAACACCACTATTTATACTTCTGCGGCTCAGTGGCAGTGAATTGAAGAGCTGGATCGATGGGTCGGGATTCGATTCCCGTTCATGGTGACTCAGATTTTCTCTTTCTCTCACGCTCGTAGCACGGAAAAGAACGTCCTCCTTTATACTAATACCGAGCTAATAATTTAACCATCTTTCTTATTCTATTTACTCTCAAGTAACCATGTAAAAAAAAAAATGACTGAGATGACTATCTCAGCAACCTGTTTTAGAATTAAGCAGTCCGAACGGCAAAGCCAAGAATGACGTCGATTTAGAAATGAATGTCAATTTGACAAGAAAATTTCGCGAATAGCTGGATCCGTTTACCATCTCTTACGGAGCCACAACTTAACTTCAGCATAATGTAAGTGAGCAGCGTTGAGTTCCAAATGGAAACTCAACTAATTTGTCGTCGGGGTTTCTCTTCTCAGACCACGCAAATTCTGGTAGAGTTTCACGTTGATGCCTGCCGAGTGCTGCCAAGAAGTGTACAAAGTGTTAAAGGGCTATTGATCGCGATGAGCTACTTTTTCTGCTCATCAGATCTGATTCTTACTATATTTTCTGCTCATCAGGGTCGGGTTGTTCAAAGCTGTGTTAAGATAACCCAGGGTTAGTGTGAAATTTGATTTCAGATCTGAAAGCTCCGAAAGAAAACTCAGCTTAATTCCATTTGTCTACAATTTGATGATTGAATGTCCTGAAAAGAACAAGGAAAAATTATCCCAAAATGGCTTTTGATTAGAGAAATTTAGAAACCTGGATTAAAATTGAACCCTGGGTTAGAGCTAATCGGCCTTTGAACAACTGGGGCCCAGATCTATATCTTAGGCATAGTCCCACTGTCGCTACTTTTAAGTCATCTCTGAAAACTGATCTCTTTGAATGTTATTTTATCTCCTAGGTTTTATTATTGTATTGTCTATTTCTTATGTGGAGCGCTTTAGCACATTTGTATTTAAAGTGCCAGATAAACGATACCATTATTATTATTATTACTATTATTATTATTATTTTGCCACGTCTTCGTTGCCGTAGCTTTTGGGTTTTGGTTGTCTCCTTATAGTATTTATAAATCTTTTAATTTGTCTGCGATGAGGAAGTCCTTCGTAAAAAAATTAAAAGTGTCCATATTATGCTTAGGGTCGATTTCTACCGCTCTCTCGAGTCCGGTCTTTTTCGTTCCTCCCCGAGAAGAGGGAGTTCGGGGAGGAGCGCGGGCTCCGGTTCCCGAAAAGCGGCTGGTAATCGAGCCTATATTATGCTTGAAGACTGACTACACAGAAATCGATCATATGGTCAGAATTGATGTATGAGTAACGACTCTTTAAAATTTGTTATTTCTTTTGAACAACAAAGGAAAGCGTTGTTCGCTCCTATAACAACAAAAAATGCACCACTGCACTCTGTCTAGTATCTACTCGTTTCGTACCCACGGAAGTTTCATTCTCTGTCGATTCGTACCCAGTGGGATCGGTTCGTTCCCAAACCGTTGGTAGATTAGCACCCGTTCAAACACTCAGAGTTGATCAAAACCTTGGTAAACAGATGTCGATTGTCGCGAATGACAAGTTACATTCAAGCGAGTAACATGCAAATAAGTTCTGTTTTGTCTATTTGTGACCTTCTTAACAATAAAAAACGAAAAAACCCCGTAAATTATAAGACCATTAAGTGAATAAACACGGCAGTACATCATTTACCCCCATGTTCTTGGAGTGTTTACGAACAGCCTGTACCTAGTAACAAAGACACTGAGGGCTGGCACAACGAATTGAACAAACCCGCTGGTAGTCGAGTTCACCCACCATTCTGCCTGCTACTTCATCGATATATCGGTTAAGAGTCGGTTGACTCGACTGATATGTTGGTGACACCCGGTCGACACCCGGTCGACACTCGGTAGAGAATCGGCTGCATGCAACGGCTTACACTCAAGTGCGCCTCGTCAACGCTTTTAAACTTCAAATAAAGCAAACAAGTCGCTGGGTTCAATCCAACGCAACCTTTGGAATTGCCCAACATGAATAATGTAAAAGAAATTGCATATACAG